AGTGCTGATCAACATTACATGTAGGGGTTTTGTTCTTTCTTCCCAGTTCTATGATGATACCACTTAGATTTTGTGTGATTAGTAATATCTTTGTAGAATTACGTAAGAAAAAACATCTGGACAGTAGCCAGACAACAATAGATACACTGAAAACTGCCCTGTACTTCAGCCACAGCAGCTGTTCTGTATCCCGTAACACACACAATTTGGCACCTTTACTTCCTTTCTCAACCTTTGTGCATTTGCATATGGCAAACCAAAACCCTAGCACACTGCTTTTGAGTGACAGAAATCCTTACTAACTCACCTTAGTTTGGCCTGGTCCTGCTGACCACTATACTAGGTGATAGCCTCCACTTCTTTCAGCTATTTCTGTAATATCAAAAGATCACTTTTTGCACCAACAATGAAAAAGTGAGCTATGCCCTTGTATACTAATTAGGCCAGTGACTGACTGTCCTTTTTCAACACTAACAGGTAGCCACTAGGAGTTTCCTTCATAACATTGTATTTCCCAATTACCAATAATAAAAATATCTGGTAGCAATTTATAATAGTCACCAAAACCATCTTATAGTCAAAAAACTGCCTTTTAGAGAGAGTTTGAATATCATGTTGGGCTGCAGAAAATGTAAATAAGAGATATATATGTTCTGCTCACAAAGCAGCAGGAAGAGAGGTAATATAGTAGGACTGAACACCAAGAATTTAAAAGTAGGAATAACCATTATGTAGCAAAAATTTACCCTGAAAGACAGGTGTGCTCAGAAATAGGTTCACAGATTTTAATTCAGGACACATAGGCTAGGACTCCCTTCAGGCTGGCACATCACATTTCATGTGGAAAGCAGAATACAAACCAGAAACAAGGCCCAGAGAGAAAATATTTTATTCTCATACCCATTCATACCCAAGAAGTCAGAATTCAAGAGGTAAGCACTTATGTCTACTACAGAATAATCTCCATATATCTAGAAACGATAAACATTTAAAGTTATGTGTAGTTCATAAAAGCACTCTTCTGATTGACTTTAAATCTTCTCTATATGCTCAGAGTTCAATAGAAGGACACTGAAACAATTTCTCTACACAAAATACAATGGCTTCCTGATAGAAATGTTAGAGACATGCAAAATGTGATTACGTATTTTGTTATTTTTACAAAAATAAAAAAAAAACAAAACTGCAAAATTCATCACCACATTAACATTTGGCATGGCCTTCTGTGGCATAGCCATCCAGAAATGGGTATGACTGGGGAGATAGGGCTTTTATAGGCATGAATCTGAACTTGAAAACCTGCAAGATGCACAGTTCCTCATTCTATGACTTTGGTGCTAGTTGATTCCTCTTATTTCCATAAAATCGGGGTCCTAAATTATGCTAGCTGTTCCTGACAGCTAGTTTCTCTGAATTCAGTATTTATGGACCTAACAGCACAATAAAGTTGTTTTATTCTTTATAACTACTACATATTTCAATGCACTTCTTACAAGACATGGAACATATTTAAGAATATATGACATACAGTGCAAGTTTGTACCAGTATATCTACTGAGACTATAGTCTTCACATTTGAAGCCCACAGGTTTTTTGCAGCAGCTAATCACTTCCCTTTTGCAAATGTAGGCCTCACTATTGCAAATACACATGCATGAAAATCTGTATCGTCCCATTGAACTCAGGCAGTGGCATCAGAATTTTAAATTAATCCATATAACTCTAATACTGCACACTTTTATGACTGGCAATTCAAGGATCCTAAATCCAAAAAATAACACTCTGACCTTGAAGCTTCAAAATTTTCAGTACTAAAGCTCCTTACATTTCTGCTACTTGCCGTGCACTTAAAGCCCCTTCCACCCCCTGCTCTTAATGGCACTGTGCAATTTGGTGCTTTATCCATATCAGTAACTTAAGACTCTACTTTGCTGCTAAGACTGAACTTTAAGGCAATTTCAAAATCTGCCATGGTGTTTTCTTGGGAGCCCAGACACTTCAATAAGGGACACTAATTACATTAACCAGCAAAACTGTCAAAATTAGGAGGACTGATCTATAGGCTTATTGTGTACATAAATGTAGTAGTATATACGCTACAGTATGGTAACCACCAACCGCTTCAAAAGGCCATTTCTATAGAAATGTGTTTTTTCCCTTATGCATAATGCACATAAAACCATGAGCATTCTGAGTGTGCTATTCAGCAGTTCTTCATAAAATTATTTAAAAACCAAAAATATTTTCTTGGTTTTGAGATATTTAGGAAGCTCAGTGAGTTCAATTAGTGTTGCTGTTCCTCCTGAATAACTTCTAAAACAGAACAATGTGCATAGAATGTACTGGGATAGGCCTAGGATATGAGCTGCAGTTTGTTCTTGCAAATTCTCCTATTCTCCATTATTTCTGTTGGTGAGTAGTAGTCTTTCTTCCTTTTCTCCGTGCTAAGAGCAATGATAGTTGGAAAAAAAGAGGAAGAAAGAGATTTTCAGTTTATTTTGAACTGTACCAAGTAACAAAATTGTTCCAGTTGGAAAATCGAAAATATCTGTCCTTATTAGCAGTGCCCACTGAAGAAAATTTAGAGACAAATTTTTGCTAGCAAATAGTTCACTATACTTAAATAATTAATGTTTTCTCACTTCCCCAATTACAGGACTATTACAGGATTTCAGATTTCCTTAATTCCATAGGCACATTTGAATGGGCCATGTATTTCATATTTAATAAAGGTCCATAAATTTGATATAGATTTAAGTTGTTTAACATAAGTAGTGGAAATATTATATACATTATACTATTTAACATTTCTTTGGTATAACATATACTCACTACTCCAATAAGCTTCTCTATATTTTAAGACACACTTACTTTATAGCTATGATCTTGACTTGCAAAAGGGAAGTTACAGTATTGAATGCTAAAGCTATATTTGGGTATTTTAAATGTAATCATGATAAAAATTACCTACTACAACAGCTTTTTTGCATATATTGCTATTATTTTTACCAGATCACACTAGAGAATAATTAGTGGGCAGGGTAGATAGATAATAAAAATTAAAAGCATGAATTAGAGATGAATGAATCTGATTTACTGAAATACATTTTGACACAGCAGTTGTTCCTTGTCAATTCAATAAGTTTCACTCAGGGGATACGACTTCTGGCCATAATCTACATGCTTCAGATGATAATCTGCTTTACACATAACTCCTTTTTGTCTGAATTCATGCAAAGTTTGATAGGACCCATACTTTTGATATTTTTATAGTTTGTGGCATTTAATACTGAATTTTAATACTGTGTACATGGAATGTCATGCATACAATAAGACAGAAAAATAAGTGTTTCCTTGCACAGTTAATATATGGCTGTAATGACTTGAATAATTTCTTATCTTAATTACCTGTTTAAAAGGATATGATCTCCTTTTTAGCAAATTCATCCAGTCCCAACAGAATGTCAAAGTAAACCACCAGTCAGCCCAAGCGTCTGTGGTAAAACTGTGCATATAGGTACTCCCCAAAAGAAAGAATCTGGAAGGAAGGAGAGGTCTTGAAAACAGTTTAAAATTTATAAATAACAAAGCTTATAGGTGGATTCAACACCGACCAAAAAAGATGATGTCTCAGATTTGAAGTCAGCATATAAGGGCATTATGGCTGAATCGCATTTATTCATAGAGAAATGAAGTCACTGAATATAACAGGGGAAAGATTTATGCCCACACATCAAAGAAGTTATTTCCTTCACTGGAACTCAAGATTTCAGTATTTGCTGCAGACAGTTACTCTTAGAAAGTTCTGAAAAAAATATACATTTGCTACTGAATTTGCTACTGAAAGATTAAAAAATATTTGCAGTTATCAATAGGTTATCCTCAGCAGCTCATGGCTACTGGACTAAAGCAGAAAGGAAATATTGCAAAGAAAGAAAATAGATGAATGAAAGATATAATTTAGACATAAAAACCCTCCCTTTTATTTCTGGTTCAAGCTATTATAAGTGTCTCAACTGTGCCCTTGTTGTTCAAACTATTACAACAATAGAAGCTATCTAGTTTTAGATTTCAATCTTAAAAATTCATTTCTTCCAAATCTATTAGATTCTGAGAAAGTCTTAATCAAAACTGAACAAGAATAGGAATCTTTTTTTTTTTGATTTATTATAACCAGATAAAATAGATTCAGAAAACTAGTAAAATGAAATGTCAGGGATGTACCAGAAAATTAATATATGACATATTCAGAGGAAGTAGAGATATTTCCCCCAGTGATATCCCATGTGACTATTCATTTGAGAGGGGGAAATAGCAGGGGAAAGTACTTGCCATTTACAAAGTCTGGCCCTTGATTAGTACTTCTATTATGGCTTTTGCTGTTTTATTTAATCTTATACAAACATGCATGAGGTATGGATAAATCCAGGAATCAGGATATTAAAACTGAATGCCTTTAAATCCCATCATACATCACAGTCAGCTAATATGAGAAGATTACGATAAATTTCTCTCCCTTGTTTTGTACCAGTTTCAGAGAAAAGTACTTGTTTCAATTCAAGGAATACCTCACTCTTGCAGAAATTTTCTTTCATTGTTCTCTGTGGAGAGTTTGCACCTTACAATTCAAATTCACATACATCTATAAACTATCCACTCTTTCATCTCGAATAAAAGGAGGAAGACACCTGCGTGTGAAGGGCCTACTGGATCCTTCACAGGCAGGGTAGAGTAAGATGACCCCAACCACCCAAGAGAATTGGATGTTTAGTTCATTTTGATGCTTTTGTTAATTCCATTAATAGACTGACTATAAAGATTTCACAAAGGATGCAGAAGACTGGCTTTTTTTTCTAGTTCAAAATGTTTGGTGATACAAGCAGACCTCTGTATTATCTCCATTTTGTGACATTTACTCAACACTATTTGGTATGTCCCTGCTTTTTTGAAGCTGACCTAAAGTTGGTTTGCAATTTTGTTTATTTTGCTTTTCTTTTTAGTTGGATACACAATGAATGATCTCATTTTCGAATGGCAAGAAAAGGGAGCAGTTCAAGTAGCAGAAGGTCTCACTCTGCCACAGTTTCTGTTGAAAGAAGAAAAAGATCTATGTTACTGCACCAAGCATTACAATACAGGTAGGAAAGCATGTTAGTGATTAAAACTGGAAAGACATTTAACATTTATATTATTTTTGAAACTTGTTTTATTTATTTAATTATTCTTACTGAACTCCCAAGAAGATTAAAATGTCCAGGTGCATTGTGCAGGATAATGCAGTCTTAAATAACTGATATGATGAAAGAAAACTACCTGAAGGCTGATCAAACTTCTATTTTAGTAAATTTAAGAAACTACATAGCTCACATAATTCAGAAGCAATTCAGCCAGGAATTTTATTTTTCCAGTAGGTGCCATGAACACATCTACACAGAACTGCTGAAATTAAAAGGTATTATGCTGTGCACTAAACATGGCCTGGCTCAGTGAGGAAAAAGGGACACGGCATCCCTATGAGCTGCTGTCACATTTAGATGGGAGAAAGGGTTTATTGTCATAACTCTAGAGGACAGCATGGTCATTGTTATATTTCTGCATTCCTTTGACCAAACTGCATTTCTGTGGCCAAACAAGTGCTCTAAAATATGAGCGCAGCCCACAACCCTGAAAAGATGGCTGAGGTTTGTGCCTCTACTTGAAAAAACAATTGGGCCATATAATTTGTCCAGAAAAGTCAAGCTGTTTACAAGTACAGAAAACTGGGAAACCTGGATGCAGGCACCCATCACATGCTTCAGGATAGAGACTTTAAAAGACCTCAGCAAGCAAGAAGACAATTGCACAGATGTGGGACGTGCCGATGATGAGCAGGGGGAATAAAATGCAGTGCTGAGAGGCACCAGCTGCAGGCAGAAAAAAAGGGTATGTTCTCACCAGAGGAAGCAGCAGAATGGCCTGCTCTGAGTTACAGAACCAAAGTTAGGGATACGAATCTAAAAGAATTCTGTCAGGGCAAACCAGAGAGAAAAGACAGTGCAGCACTGCATTTTTTGTGAGATTCTCCTCTTCGAGTACTTTCTCCAGGGTATTAAGTTTTTATTCAGGTCTGCAGTACGAAGCTAATCAAATTAGAGTGGTTTGATTTGCTTTCTAGGAGAGCAGGAGTGCCTTTCATTACTTTCTACAGCCAGAATTATTAACTACCAATTGTAGCTTAAAAAACCCTAAATATTATATTAAAAGACAACAACTAAGAGTTTCTTTTCCTCCACTATATCACTCAGATATGAGACTAGTAATGTGCTTTCTTAAGGCTCCTGCAATGAGGTGATGTAGACCGATACCCCTTAAGGACACTCCACAAGAAACAAAACAAAAAAAAAAATCAAAACCAGAAATAAAGCCTATTTTTCTGGCCTATAACAGAGTAGATAAAATGAATTCTTAAAAGAACGCTAAGCAACTGCTGCTTGGTATGCAATAAGGGACCAAAGAAGAGTATTTAGTTTCAATTTACTTACAGCACAGGATGAAAGCTCTTCCAAGACATCCCATAAAACAGAAAAAAAACAAACCAAACCAAAAGCCTTCCTGTGAAGCAAATTAATGTGAAGCTTCAGGACAGTGTGTGGAAACTCATCAGTGCATGTCTCATCAGTGTTTCATGCCCAACTGAAAATGGATCACTGTAACCACAGCTTGAAAAGTAAAATGCTTCTAAGTATAGGGATATAACAATTTCAGAACAGTGCAGCTTAATGGCTCATCAAGTTTTGTGTTTTGAAGTGATGCAACAACATTTCTGAACATTTTCATGTTGTTGCGGCCACTGGTATATGTGACAAATTTGGGAGGTGATGTAGAATCATAAGTAGAAAAATCACAATATTCAAACCATTCACATTACAAGGATGGTCTTTCTCTACCATGTCTTCATTGACTTCCTGTGTGACACACATTGCTCCCCTGGCCTCTCATGCAAAACGCAATTTTAATAGCAATCACTTTGAAAAACAGTCTATGACAAGCTGAGGACATGACAATCTGTAGACACAGAAAACAACACTGCCTGACTCCAAAAGGGCATTTTTCTCTGCAGAAAAGACCTCAGTTATCACCCCTGCACTGATAAAAATTGAAACATTTGACCTTAAATATTCATTGCATAAAAAAATTATCAGCTGTCCTTGAAGCAGAGACATTACGTTTAGATGTCCTTGCTATTTATGTTGCTGTTAGATTCTCCTTAGTTTCTACTAACACTGCTAACACAGTGGAGCATGTGACTATTCTTTCATCTTGCAAGACTTCTGTTCAAGTCATTATCTACCAGCCTCCCAGACCTTTCCTGTAGAACCGCTGCCTACCCAGTCCATCCCCAACCTGTATCAGTGCATGAGGTTACCTCACTTTCATTGCAGAACTGTGCATTTATCTTTACCAATTGCCATGATGCTGTGGTGGGTCCTCCAGTCTATGGAGATCCCTCTGAATAGCAGTTTGGTCCTCCATTCTGAGCAAGTGCAAATTCATCAAATTGAAAAAAATTAGTTTATCCTTTCTACATTTATTTTCAACTCTTTTTACTGCAGTCATTACCAGTCTTGCACCAAGGTTAAGCTTACCACCGGCCACAGAACAAGCTATGTAAAGTCACTTCCTTCCTGGCCAAGAACTTACACTTATGTAGTCAATGGCACATGAGAGCATCAGCACTGATATTCCCCAATAGGCCACTGATATTTGCAGACCATGACTTGAAAGAATAACTTAATGGTAGTACATTCCTACAGCTGGTCTGTGAATCTTAGTTTTAGATACATAGACACCAGCCATATATATGAGAACATGCCTAGTTTTATGTGACAGATGCTTGAAAATTATTATTTCTAGTCAGGCTGCGTGATCATAGACACAGCCTGAATGTTTTACAACAAGGAAAAGACAAGTGCTTTTACAAGCAGTTTTTATCTCTTTGACTATTCTCAGTGTGTGTTGTAGTGCAATAGACATTTGTTTTGAGTAAATAATGGTCCTTTTTTCCTTCATACAAAGGTACAGAGATGAAACAAGAATACTCAGAGCATTACAATGGCAACTATTTAGGGAGAACCTAGGAATCCAAGGTATTAAATGTTAGAAAACAGTATCATAAAGTGCATTCACGCTGCTTCAATCCATGCAAAATCTGTTTCTTGGGTCTATCTATTGAGTCTACCTATTGTTTTGTCTTAGAAAATGAGTCTTTCGACTTTTGCTTTTAGAAGAGAGGACTGTCTAGTTTTGCCCTATAGAGAAAAGTGCATCAGCTGCCTTTTGCAGTACCTCTTTTCCAGACAAAATGACAAACTCTGCCTTATACAAATCTAGAAATGATAAACACTGCAGCAGTTCAGGACTGCACCTAGAAATAAAAACTCTAACACAATGTTCAAGCTCAGACTGAGCTTGAATGCTTAGGACCTTTATGGGTAGTACAGGAATCAGCTGCCTAAAGAAGTGATTCCAAGAAGGCAGACAATGGTAGAAGCCCTATATTGTATTAAGGGATCTAAATCTAAGTCAGTAATTTTGGCTAAGCCAGGGAAGAAATCTCACTCTCCATTTCTCCTTTCCTGCTATCTCTCAGTACTTAATTTCACATTAAATCTGTGTCTGTCGCTGTTTATCAAGGGGGAAAATGCAGTGCTAGAGGAGAGGAACATCATCATATCTCACTTGCCTCAGGACTCTTGATAGCAAATCTCCATCGATAGCAATATTTTGGCCATTGGGCGGGCTGGCTGGCTGGCTGTTTTTTGGTCATTGGTCTTCAGTAAAAACAGAATGTGTAGTCCACCTCTGTATTGGCAGATGCGTTGGAACCAGAATACAGATCTAACCCTCATACTCTGCAGGGTTCCATAATGAGTTCCATAATCCAAATTCAGATTTGCTTAATTTAGTTTAGTTTGATAAGCCTTGAATTATTCTCTATTCAGCATGTATAAAATTCTTACTTAAGTAAATAGTTTTATGAAATTTCACTAAGCTATACAGTCTTTAGGCCACAGTCTTCTCTACATCCATAAAATGTTTTCACAGTACATTGGCTATTAGCATTATCAATGGCTTTTCTTACATGAAGTCCAGACTATGACCCACTAGCATCTAAAGTAGTATCAAGAAGCAGATCCTTCAGCAGATATCTCTCCATTTGCCACGGATTAACAGTTAAATCTCTTCATGCTTAGTTCCTTTATTTTTTATTCTTAATACTTATTCCTTTTATATTTTGCTGTTATTAATTTTCAATTTCATAGTGTTTTAATAAATATTATTACTTTTATCTTTATTTCTCAGGCATGCTATTTCTTTGGCTGAGTTTCCTAAGGTGATTCTCCATTATGAAAACTTTCTATGTAGCTTCAGAAATAGCTCCTCAACCTTCCTGGGAACTGTAAACGTGACCATGATATTGTGAGGGTACAGTAACGAAAGCTTCCCACAGGGAATATCTTAGAGGTTGCTGAAAGGGGACAAATCTATTTAAGTTCTACCAATTACTGCCTCTGGAGCAGTGTGAGGCAGAGGAAACTGAAAAGGACTCCTTATGGACTGAAAGATACTACTTACGCTTGCTTTTGCTTGCACCCAAGCACACTCCTACCTGTATAGCTCACTACTTAAACAGCACCTGCCATTGTCAATAGAGGTTGTACAGCATGAAGGTGTGCTAAGGTGGAAAATTGCTCTTCTCAGATTATTCACAGTTGGCCACAGCAGCAACAACCAAAAAAAGAATATGTGACTTAAATACTGACTCCAAAGAAAAGCCACTTGTACTTTATGGGGAAAAGAAAAATCCTATAGAATGACTGGAATATCAGTTTCAGTGTGGACATTGCATGGAAATCATGCCAGCCCAGCAGATCTGACCTTGTTACTAAACATGTGTAAGAGAGAAAAATGCACCATCACATACATATATACCAGTACGTTCACTTCACATGCATAGGTACAGCATTCAGCAAGACAGTACTTTTGGTGCCTTTAGCACACTTGAATCCCTGGTTAGGCTGGACTTCAAACATGAAGAACCTCTGTTTTGGGAAAAAAATGTTTACCTTTTAGGAAGCTCTTAATAACTGTTCTTTCTTTTGCATTAGAAAAATCTGTCCATTTTATGGATTGTGTGCACATCTAGATTTACCCTTAGTCTGAAATAGCATCAGGCTTTAATACGTTACTCGGCCTCAGCAAAACCACAATACCACAAAAGTTTCATGTGTTCCTCCTGGCTACTCCCCATGACAATTACAGTGAATATCAGAATGAACTAGAGTTTACCTTCTGTGTGCTGCAAATGAATTATTAGAACAATGCTTTTAGCTGCTTGGATATTTCTTTCCCCAGCTGAGCTGACTTCATGGGTATGTCTCTTCTGATCTAGTCAAGCATCCAGTCAAAAAGATTAAAGCACAGCTAACCTGGCTTTGGATTTGAAATAAAATACAGGATGAGAAAGGAGACCCACAGCTGGAAAACAACAGCACAGCCTCAGCTGACTGCCTCCTAGCTGAAGTTCACAGCTGCTAGTGCAATCTATTTTTTTTTTTTTCCATTCTGCTTCATTAGCCAAGTTTATGCAAGTGGCCCTGATCTCAGCCAGGAAGGGCAAAAATTAACATCACCCCTTCCACACTTAGAACAGTAACTGTTAGAACTGCAGTGCCAAGACTGACTTCCAACTGTTGCCTTTCTCCAATAGTCAGCAGTGGAGTAACAGTGAGAAGTCTACCCGGGGAGACAGCAGTCTCCCAGGGAAGCTGCCAAGTATTAATTTTTCAGTGCTATTCTGGAACAAAGCAGATGAGGAATACCTATGAGTGGCATGTCCATAAACTCACTGGGCCTGAGACAAAGGCAGGAATCTAAAGTCACACATTCTGTACAGTTAAGTATTTTTCCACTTCATTTTCTTATTTTCAATTTTTGACTGTCAGGGATTGGGGCTTTTAGTTTGTTTGGGGGGTTATTTTTAACCTTGATCAATAATGTCTAGAAAAATTCAAATCCATGCAAAAGAATCTTTCAGTATAGTTCCTGTAACACATCACTCAGACTGAGTTCTGGCCTCTTCATTATCCCATCTCTTTTCTATACTTTTCTATGATTACAATATATTCCATTGGTACTTCTCTCATTTAAAATCTCTTTCATTTTCTCAGGGTTCTGTTCTCCACAGCTGTTCTCTCTCCTTAGTTTAGATGAACCCAGCAAACTTACAACCACAGAAACACAAACACACCAGACCTAGTACATTATTTATTCCCTCTTTAGGACATGGTGGTGAGAGCTCTGTAACAGTTTGAGCCCACTTGAGTACTCAGGAAAGAGACTTAGATCGCTTATCCCACCTTTCTCTGGAGAAAAGAAAAAAAACACAAAAAACCAAACAAACAGTAAAAAAAACAAACAAACAAACAAACAAAAAAAAACAAAAAACAAAACCGTGTACAAGCTATAGCCAATGTTTACTGACATTCCAGTTATGTACATATTACACTTTCTGATGCTTCTTAGTTTTCCTTCCTAATTTGTTTTCAAAGAAGAACATAGGACCCTAGAAGAAGGAAATGCTCCATGCTGAACTGTAATTATTGTGATCCCAAATAAAACAGCTTTGCAAGAGACCTAGATCTGATTGATACATTTCTGTCACTCCTTACCCTCATGATTTCCTGTGATGTATGAGAGAGAGAGACCAGTGCTGTCCAAGTCTGCTGTCACAAAAAGACAAATCTTCAGGGTAAGGATCGGTTTGAAGTAAGAATATGATTTTGACAAAGGCCCAGTGCAGAACTTCTAGTTATGTGAGCTGTACTGAACTGCTAAGTAAAAGAATGTATCTTGTAGTTATCTTTTTGAAGATCCTGGAAGAGAAATATAAGCGAAAATCCTGGCCTTTTCCTGTTCACTTAGTTAAACCAGGACCTCATCCCTTGATTGAAGCAGAAATCAGTTTTGAAGCTGGGGCAGCAGATGGTTGAGACAGGATTTGGGACACAGATTTCACTAGTGTAGATAGGATTCAGAAAAAAACAGCAATTAGGAATGGAACTAATAATTGAGCCAGCAGATATAAAACTCCTGGGATATGCCATTTTTAAAATTGAACATCATAACTACTGTCTTTCTAAATAATTTTTTAGTGTCTCAACAGAATAAAAATTTTATACAATGATAATTACTATGACATCATAGAAACAACAGCCTGTGAAGAGAACTATTATGAAAAGAATTAAGTTCAGAAGATATTTCCAAGCCTAGAATAACAAAAAATTCAGTTTGACTTTATCTGAAACACATTTCTGTGTGCCTAACACTTGTCACAGCATAATATACAATATATCAAATTAGCATGGCATAAGCTCATAAATAAGTCCATTACATGAATTTTGTTAATATGATAAATATTAAAGCATTATTAATGTGGAACTATTTTCTATAAAATGGCATTTTGGCAAATAAAAATGGATTAGGAAAGTATCCATCAAAATAGATACATTCTATAACAAAAAAAAAATTGCATATCAATTAAGAAATAAACAACTATACAGCTTTCCATGTTAAATTAGGAAATTCTTTCATTCAAATAAGGAAGAAATCTGAGCTATGCATATTTCCTGCTGTGAGAAACTGTGTATTCATGTATACTCTATTTACAGTAACAGCATTGCCGTCAGCACCATTCATATGTGACTAATATGAGCATTGAGCAGAATTAGAAAATCTGATGAGACCAGGTCAAGAGCTGTGAAATAATCTACAGTCCACAGGGTAAAAAAAAAAAAGCAATCTGGACAGGAGAAAAAAAAATGAGTTTATGGCATTTCTATGAAGAAACAATAATATTTTTGTTCTGGTTTAAGTTGTTTAATATTCAGTATCTGGGAAAAAATAGGCCATTTAATTAGCTTCCTAAAGTTAGTTAATCTCAAATCCTCAATTTCTCTTTAAATCTCAGACATTGTACTTTTGAACTGGAACAGTTTGAATGGGGATAAAAGGCAAGATTTAGCAGAATCCTAATGCCCAAATTGATCTCACTATATTTTTCTCAAATTCATTGAACTAAAAAAAACGAAATTCAAGCTTCAAATTGAACCAAAAGATAAAGGAGATGTTATACAATAGGAAAGGAACCCTTTTCTTTGCATACAGCAGTATTTCCAAGCAATAGAAAAACAAGTATGATCACACAGAGGAAGTTTCCGTTGTCATAATGAATTGTGTTTTGTTTTTTACAAGGAAAGAAGAGTTCCAGAGGTTAGTGAATTCTTAAGTTTTCAGGTTTTCTGTCCACTTTCTTTTCAGTAAATACTCCTGTTATAGCAGAGATCATGCATATTAAAAATTACCGAAGAGAAATCAAAACATCCATCTTTCATTAGAGAACAAATATATTAGACAGAGTGTAAATTCTTTAATGTACGCACTAGAAGTTGACAGTAAAGAACATTCTATTTCTATTGAATATTTCTTCTTTGCTATAAAAAGGAAAGTTTACATGTATTGAAGTCCGATTTCACCTTGAGAGGCAGATGGGTTACTATCTCATCCAGATGTACATACCAAGTCTCTTGATCGTCATTCTCTCCTGGGTGTCGTTTTGGATCAATATGGATGCAGCTCCAGCCAGAGTGGCTTTAGGCATAACAACTGTACTGACCATGACAACACAAAGCTCAGGTTCACGAGCATCTCTTCCAAAGGTAGGCAGAATTTCTTTTGTTTGAACCACATTAGTACAAAGTCATAATGCTGTGTGACAAATAAGCACCTTCAGTCAACCTTATAATGTGTGTTTGAATTATCAATATTCAGGCATCTTCTAAAGGAGATAACCTTGAAATATTTAGGTGGGTTTTGAGTCACCAATCAAATATATTCCATTCCCCCTATCTCAGCTATTTAGCCAACTATCTATTAAATTCCACAAACTTCAGTAAGTAACAAAAGCAATGTTATTCAGTACTATATAAATGCTGCTTAGCACTTCACTAGCTCATCATTTTCCAGATCCCAGTATTTGATGACATGTTAACAGATATCACTGAATTTCTAAAGTTCATAGATTCTATCCTTCTCTCAATGATATTTCTTTCTCAAAACCTGCCTACATTATGAATTAACTCACTAATCATAATTAACTAGTTAACAACTAGTTAACTCCCTAGTTACGATTTACATTAAAATACAGAAAAAATGTGAAGCTAAGTAGTTCCAGACAGCTGTATAAAGAATGGCTCACTACACACTGTAAATAGCTTCAATTATATTTGTGTGATTAATTATTTAAGTTTTCTGACTTGTCATTGCTTTAGAGATTTTCATTTTAAGGCTTATTCCTTGACCATCTTCATGTTCCACTGCACTTAAGGGAAATAAAATATACACAATAAAAATACACAAAGTCCACTTCTGTATTTAGCTTTAACATGGTATTTTTATGCTGGCTAATTAAATTTTTTTTCCAAGTAAAATATCCCTAACAGGGGTGTGTCTCATGCCTCAAATATATGGATTTAAACGCATATGAATCTAGCATCAACAGAAAAGAAAACAAAATTTTATAAAAACTCAAAAAAATAAGACTGTAAGAGGTTACCAAAGAGAGCTACGGATGGTTTTTTTGTCAGATTTTTTAAGCCTGAAGCTAGTTATGTTGGTTTATATGACAAAGCTCTTGTAAATCTACACACAGGGAGAGGCCCTACTTTCCTAGTTCAGATTATGTCCTGCAGCAGAGCTTGGCAGTAAAGGATTGCAATGAGTTCGTCTACTCTGTAACTGGTTTTCAGAAGTTCCACTGTGTCAAAATTACAGGACAAATTTGAACCTATAACTTTAATTTACTGTGTCTATATTAGCAGAGAATGAACATACCGGAGTTATCCATTTATCTCCTGTCTTCTACCTAATTTCTATTCCAGGCACTTTAAATCAGATCTATTCTAATACAGGAATTCCCACTGGTCCCACTATAAGTTATTTTTTGGTTCCTTAGTATCGTTCACAGATCTCAGTGGGACAAATGGAGGAAGAGCATGTGCTTCTTCTGGATTATTTGGTTTGTGATACAGTGTACACAGTACCTTATAAGGAACTGTTAATAAGAAACAGTAAACATATTTTGCCAAAGACTACTTTTTTTAAAGAAACATTTAACACTTATAGCTTGAATTGTTGTCCCTCTTATTATCTAGCTTTCATGTTTTGCTTTATAAAAGTAGTGTTGGGAGGTGGAGATATTAATGGACTTTCTCCTTGATATGAAATGCTAAACCTCACATCTGTGGTTTTAACACAGTCTTTTTCTCTCTATAGGTATCATATGTCAAAGCAATTGACATCTGGATGGCTGTGTGTCTGCTCTTTGTATTTTCTGCACTTTTGGAGTATGCAGCTGTAAACTTTGTGTCAAGGCAACATAAAGAACTTCTGCGATTCCGCCGCAAGAGGAAGAAGAACAAGGTAAAAGTAACAACATTCACAACTTTGAAAGAGAGTCAGAGATTGATTTACCCCAGGATACAGGGTTAATCTGGTAAACACAGTCAAGGCTTAAAGTGGCAATATAAATAAAATAGCAGCATTCACTGTAGGTAGAGGGTCACTACAAGGACTATGCACTGCATAAATCCAACTTGAAGTCTCAAAGAGGGATTAAGAAGGAATTAAACGAGGCATGGACCATGTGGGAGCCATCTGCAGAAGGATGAATTCCACTCTGTTAGAAGAGTTAAGTTCTTTGGTGGATGAATGTTGCTGGTCCTGCAGCAGTTTTTATTACATTGCGATCTAACAAATAATATTTCCTAAATTCTTCCTAGTATGCAGTTCAAAGCCTTAGCAGCAGTGTTTTATGTAAATATTTTAAAATAAAAAATTATTAATACTATTGATGAAAAAAATTTATTTTAAAAGGCTGAGAAGTGTATTTTTCTTCTAACGTTAATCTAGTGTAAATTGTTCGTGCAACTAGTAAGAAACTTTAATATGGCAATGGTTAGTAACCATTTATTTTATAGCTGAAGCTATCTAGACTACCAGCAAAATAAGCCACTACCAAGTGCAAAGTCAAACAGCTAAGGCTACAGGTTTTAATTTTAAAGTTGCAGTTAAATCAAGCAATAAGCAAAATTTCTTAAAACAATATGTAACTCCTACTTCGGATTTTTCAAAGAGTAAGTTTTTCTCCAACCTACTCATTAAAAGAATATGCATGTCATGCAGAGCCCTTCTGCTGGCTTTTGGTGACTATCTAGAGTATCACTGTGGCTTAAAGCCTGACTGTAGCTCAGACTCAGCTCAGCCATCTTTTGTTCCTGAAGACTTACCTCAATTTATTGCTTACATCACAAGGAGAGGACATTTTACAGGTTGTTTCCCTTTTACTTAAAAGATATGGAAAATCTGTAATGCCACAAAGCCTACCTAAGCAGTCTCTACTAGCAAGGCTCCATGCTAAAGGCAGGCCAGACAGTCAAATGAACATGACATTCTCATACATTTGCCTGTTTCAGTGTTTTGGGTCCTAGATTTCAGCTGCTGAAACTCATGTGCTGTAGCATAGAGGATGATTCAGACCACCTGTACCTGCTTTCAACATTTGCTCCTGTGAAAAAAAATGTGTTTTTTTCTTTTCGCTGATAGTAGCAGAAAAAAATACTTTCTCAGACACACATTTTTGTGACAGATTATTTATTTTTCAATTGTGGCAGCTCTCTGAAAGCTGCTTAATGGTTTGGAATGGGTAAGTGGGACAGGCAGAGACAGATTACTGGGCAGGGGACAGGTGAGCCACAACAGGTGTGTCATGTATTAAACAGCAGTGGTTAGTAATACGCTATGTGACTAAACCTCTAGTCTATACATTTTTTTCACCATGTGTTATAGCATCTTCTGGATGTCACACAGATTTACCATATTCAACTTCAGCAATATCTTTCTTGAACACAAGTCAATTATTATAACTGCAGGGTTAGGAATTGGCGGGTAATATTACCTACCTTCCTCAGAATCAAACCAAACCTTTTTCAAGCCCTATCTTAGCAAGACTTCAAGCTCACCAAAGACACTTCTTCAACAATCACAATCAATCAAATTTCATCTTAGATATATGTGGAGAAAGATCCACAACATATGAAGTACTTCTAAGAGAAGACCACTTAACAAAAATGTATGCACATGAATAGTATCATTGTCTTAAGTGTTTTGCTGGACCAGTGCTTGACATCATGATATTACTTAAAAGACCTTATTCTAATTTTACGCTTCATTAGACAGTCTTCTACCTTCAGGTAGGTTGCCTGTTAGATTCTCATGAAATTAGAGGGTTAGAGACTGAAGTGTCTATAGTAAACTATCAAGTACTACTGTTTGATTCTGTAGGATGAAGACATGCATTTTAATGCCTTTCTTCATAACATACGTAGGTGAGGGTGTTAAGCATATTCAGAGAGACATGGTTTTCCCTTCCTCCCTGTATTGCAATGTTTCATCATGAGACAGGTTTCTCAGCCTACATTTACCAAGAAATGCTTTGTTCCCATGCAAGGTTATGATTTTGAGAAGTAGACATTTTTTCTGAAAAGACTAAATGAATGTTTCTTGAGTGACTCCATTCTGTGTAAATCTAGAGCTCCCAGACGGAGTTATCTTTTGAGAAAATACCTTCTCAAGATCTACAGACAGCTCAGCTAATTGCTTCTCTTTTTCTCAATGTTTTATTAAACCATTCCTTGCCCAACAAGCAAACAAGTTGAAATTTTACAGCATAGAGATACTCTCTCTTCAAAAAATTGGATGTCATCCAAAGCCTCTGGTATACAAATAGTAAATGTCATCTTTCAGATTAAAAAAAAGCAGTTAATAACTAGGCTTCCCTACCACAAATGTTACTATTTATTCACCACAATTTCTAACATGAAATGCATACCCTAGGATCATAATTCAAATTAACCTTTGTTTACTTCTTCTTTTGTCTTTTTTAAAGTCAGTTAGCATAGCATATGATTATTAAATTTTATATGTATTTGTTATCCCTTTGGACTAGGTTAAACTCTCAGGAAATTGTACTGACTTTTAAAATTACCATGTACAAAGAAATGTTCATTTGACCACAAAGTCAAAAGACATGAAAAAAAAAAAATAGGTTAAAAAGCTGTGTTTAAAATAAACTTCAGGAGCTTCCTTGAACATTAAAACCTCTTTTTTTTCAAAGTGAAAACTGCTATTCTATTCAGTATTTATGTCCAAATAGATTAAAGAAATAGGTTAGGATAATTTATTAGCCTTTTTCATCCTATGTGCTTACCATGTGGGGATATCTTACCAGGATTAGGTTTTTCTACCAGGTGAATTCCAGCCGATGAATACAGAATTTTTTTGCATAGGCTTTTTACCTGCAAGGATAGAGCAAAATTCTTAGTGGTTTGACTGTGTTGCAAAAATCAAGAAACAGATCGGTTTAGATATGGTTCATTTCAGGTATATGTTGACAGAAGAGAACATGTATGCAAAATCTCTAATTGCAATAGGGCAGCTGACGAATTTCCAAAGTTTATTTTCTTTTTAATTAAAAAGATGTGTTTGTTGCAAGAAATATTTACTTTTACCAGGTAACCCTAGCAATGGCCAGATGATTGAATTTCAGTGCTGGAATGCCCCTCAGACATCAATGAATCAATTTTCTTGACCCAAGTCAGGATCAGTTGTACCTAATTCATCACACTCATAAAAATTGAAAAGCTCTCCTGCAATCTATTCCAATGGTTTAGATTTTTTTTGATGGCTTGTCTAGAAGGAACACAGAACAGAATGCTGCGTTCCTTTATGTAGCCATCTCTACATTTCTTTTCATTCTTCTTTTCTTGAAATATTCCTAGTCTTTTTTTTTTTTTTCTCCTTGACTGGAAATTCACCTATTCTCCTAAATAAATCCATGTAATTCCTCAAAACTCTGTTTGCAACATGAAGCCTAGCCAGTAACAGTCGAGAGCAGGTGAAGGATCACATGGTGTAAGTTATACATTTGTTTATTCAAGCCGGTTTGCCATTTGCCCTTTTAACAACAGCAGGTACTGACCCATACCAAGACTGTGACCTTCCATAACTAACAGGTCTTTTTCCAGAACTACTGCAGAGCCATTCACTTCCCATATTATGTTTGTGAAGTTCATTATTCCTGGCTAAATGTAGTACCTTGTATTTGTACCTACCAACTCTTCTGTATTTCTCTGTCTAAATAATTGAACTCAGCTTTAACTCCAGAGGTATCCCCAGACAAATTTGCAGTTTTTCCCAGGTTGGAGTCTTCTGTAAATTTTACCACACCTATGGGCTGTTCCTTTTCAACGCTGATTAAAAACAAAAGATGACTGAAATCTCTTTTAAAAAGCACATGCTCAAACTCAGATAAACCCTTTGCAGTAAACAAGTGCAGTAAACAAAAGAGCTGCTGAATTATGGGAAATTATACAGTTACACAAAATGTAATTATGTACAGAGCTGTATCAAGACATTTTAGCATCCAAAGCTCATCTATGCTTTTTCCCCCTACAGTCACACCCTCTTTTTTACACCATCTAGTACTTTTGCAGCCTCCCTTCCCAAACAACAGTAACCTCAAGGCGCCTTTTAGTTATAACTAGATATAAACAATCACACCTCAAGGCAATTTTTAGTTATAACTGCACTCTCTGGCTACCATTTTTATAGTTGTAAGTATTGACCTTGCTCAATGACTCCAAATAACTGAAAGACAAATTTCAGAGGCCAAATTCAATTTGCACAGAATAAAAAAAATTTTGAAGCTCTGGGATTGTGTTATAAATACAGTTATAAATAAAAACATAATATGCAGTGTACTCATTTCTGGTTTCCAATAGGCATCACAATAGATATAGGATATTTTTCAAAAAGGCCCTAATTTCTTTGTGGTTACACAAATGGCATAATGAATCCTGAGAACAGGGGAGTTTTTGGTTCCAAATTTGAGATTTCATTCGGTAGTGAGTATATGGTCCATAGTAGTTTGTCTCCATCAGAGAAAGAAATCTGGCCAATGAACACAACTATTTCATAAATATTATATTAGTAATATGATGGAAACATTCCTTCAGAATGAACAAATATTAATTATTCATTTACAGTTACACTCCTTTCAGTATTGAAAGACAAAAGGAAAAAAAATGTCAAAGTTAGAAGTCATACAGGGATACTGAAAAACACCTATAATCAATGCTTTTTCTTATTAGCATTTAGATTGTACGGGGAAAAACATTAACTGTATACATATACTGAATAACACTTTGATTTTAGATTAGTTTTTAATATATCTAGTTTTCAGGAACAGTCAATCTTTTATTTCTATTTTCACAAATCTAAAGATCATGGTATCTTTAGTGAGGAAAATAGACATGCAAACTAGATTGTCTTTAATGGTAATCATACCTCTTTTCTTTTGTTTTCTTTTTGGTCAACCCATCCGTTTTGATGAAAGTATTTTGAGGGAGTTCTTGATGGAAATGAAATCAGTGAATCATTGCAGCTTAGCAATGGCTTGAGATGTACACGACCTATAGACGGAACTTTGCCTCAAATCTACAGTACAAATTTAAGGGTAAACTACGAAGAAGATGTCCCATTTGTCATAATGTGATATCCAATCATTAACAGAGGCCTTATCCTTTTGTCTGAAATAATGTCTTCCCATGTGAACTTCATATACCTTCATTGCTACCTGTATGTGATGACGTGAAATGCTAATAAAGGTACTTGTTTTGTTAATTTTGAAATCCATCTTGATCTCTTTAAGTCTGGATTCAAACATAGTATTAAAATTATACTTCCTGCAACTTCAAAGGAACAGTGACATCAGCTCAAAGAATAATCATTTGCTACCAGATCAGTATTTAAAACCAAACTGTAGTTTGGTTTGTGCAACCAATGTAGTACAAACCAATTCAATAATACTTTTCTTCTCAAAAATTAACAGTAAAAAATATAATATTCAAATAACCAAAACCAAAGCTTCAAATAATTCTTCAAGCTGTTACCACAGCCTACAGCAAAAGGCTATGGAGATACTCTTAGCCCTTATCCATATTACTCCTCAGGAGAAATGTATTATTAAATACATGAATAGAAAACAGCATGGTCACAGGGTCACAGAAACTGACAGCTTTCAATACTTTATTAACTCAAAAGTTAATATCAATAATAAAAGTAACTGCATTTTTCCTGCAAGCACCCTTAGATATGAACCTGGGGCCAAATTAATTTTTTTTCTGCATTATGAACCTGATGGAAAACTTGCACAACCACAGAAAAAAGTTATGGTGATACCTGGCATATTACAATGCTCCAAAGGTGCCGTTTTCTGCATAGCCATTAACCTTAGCCCTTTGGTCTGACTTGGCAGGCTCCAGCCATCCTGCCTGCCCTAAGGGAGACACCATCCAACAAACACTGGGCAGAAATGCAAGATTCCTAGAAGGACCTTCACATCACTTCCTCAACAACAGAGAGCATTTCCAAGAAGCCTGCTCACAAACTAAACTCAGGATGTATACAAGCAAAAAAATAAGCAGAGATCTTGCCTTTATAACATTTTAAGAAACCACTTAATTCAGGAAAACAGAGACAGCAAAATCTTAGCATATAGTACCTCATCTGAAAACATACCTAGCTGAAAGCTGCTACCCAGAAAGTTTATTATCCTTTTGAGTCTGTGCAATCATAAAGCATTGTTTTCTGGAGATGTATGGAAAGATTTAAACTCTGAATTTTATGTATGAAGGTGTTTAAATAGCCAGTTTTGTGTAAATTCTCACACTCATTTGTAACTCATGTTAACTAGAATAAAACTTCAAAACTTTTCTGGAATGCAACTATTATAAAGATGTTGTTTCCCATTCTTTTCTGACAGGAGAGGAACACTTTTATAGTAATTAGATCTTTGGTTTATCACGTCATCAAATAATGACCCTATCATTTTGTATTTCTGTTATTCATTTTCATATTGAAGTCAGTCAGTTATTTTCCCTCCTTTTCTTTCATGTTAATTTTTCTTTTTTGTTTCTATAGGAGAGTTCTAATATAGATTTTAAGTATAGAAATTTCAGTAAACTATATTAGCCTATTAGTTTATTTGATTTACATGTATGAAAAACTATTGCAGTTGGGTAATAATTACAGCTCTGCTGGATGCTCATGATGATTGCCAACTAGTTCACTTCAAAAGTAGTAATTTCTCTGTATTCTTTTGAGACAACTTATTCAACTAATATTGATGATAAACTTCATTGGATTTTTTTTTAAACAAAGTAATTAACAATGGTTCTTGTAGCAAGTACTACTTAAGCAAATATCTAAATATGTCTAGAATTGATTCTCCATTCAAAAACATTTTTAGATTTTCCAAATCTCACAGGCATTTTCAAAATGAAAAATTTAGGAGTTTGGATTTAAACTGTGTTCACTGAGAAACTGTGTTTGCATAAATTAAGAAATTTAAATTAAAAAATGTTTTGGAATTACTGAACTGAAACACTAATTATTTTACTCGCTTTGGTAAACAGTATTTTTTTATCCTTTCATTTTCATTTAAGCTAGGAAGAGCGTCAAAGATATAAAAAATTCTCTACAAAAGCAAAATTGCTGCTTAATTATTTTTTAATACAGAAATTATTTTCAGGAATATTTAAGAAATCACATATACATAACACTTTGTCATACTTCATAAAAGTCTAGAATCCTAAAGCAGCTAGGCTAAATTAGACATGTAACATAGGAAATTCTGAATTTAAAATCAGTATGTAAAAAAAATGTGAAAACCATCAAAATCACATTAATATCCTTGAGTAGCATACATAGTGAAAGAATGCACTGGAATATACTTCAGAACAAACTTTGGTCCAGGCTTCACAGCCTATGTATCATTTATTTGCCTGCATTTGTACCTCCATTATCACTTGAGAATACCAATAGCCATTTAAAGAGAAGTACAAAATGTGTCTCCCCACAGAAGCCACATTCTTGAAATGCATGCTATGAAAATATGTATATCTTCAGATCTCCTAGTTTTGTTTCTGTGCCACATGCTTAAAACCTGCTTTTCCTTACAGCTCCCTGAATGCATATAATGTCTTTGCTAGTTATCCCCTGAACTGTCAAAAGAACAAATCAGAAGAAAAATATGGCCTTAGTTTTCATTAATTTTATTTTAAACTAACACACTTTATATACTATTCTCTTTATCTGATGTATTCACAGGAAGACCCAAAATGAGGCATGCAGATAAGATTAACTAAATATACAGTGACCAAATAGGCAGAATTCTCATTAATATATTTGACATCAACATCATTAGTGCTTCTATAATGAAAATCTCTAGAGGCCAAGATCCCATTTTATTAAGCAACATAGAGATTTAATGGCTGTTGTCTAAAAGACCAGAGTGAAGTTTGCCCACTTGAAGACTGCAGATATTTACTGTAAATGGGGAAAATTAAACTTATGTACCCGACTACCAATAGCTTACTAAATTCTCTCTTTTTTTTAAGTAGATTAGAGAATCTATAAACAAATAGGAAAATTCTGCACTTACTAAGGCTGCTGCAATATTTTTGACAGACATTGACAGGGCTGAAATCTCAACCAGTTAAGATACATAAACTGTGGATTGAAGAAGTCACTGAGGTAATGGTGCAATACGTGCTATTTAGCTGCTGGTAAGATTTCTGTAAGTAGAAAAACATTATTTGACTTTTCTCTTTCCTTTCTTTTCTTTTTTTTCCTAACAGGATGATGATGTAAGGGAAAGTCAGTTTAGTTTTACAGCATATGGAATGGGCCCATGTCTGCAAGCAAAAGATGGAGTGACACAAAAGGGGCCAAATAATCCTGTTCAAGCTGCACCAAAAAGCCCTGATGACATGAGAAAGGTATTCATCGACCGGGCCAAGAAGATAGACACGATATCCAGAGCTTGCTTCCCATTAGCCTTCCTGATTTTCAATATTTTTTATTGGGTAATTTACAAAATCATCAGGCATGAGGACATTCACCAATAACAAGATTAAGGCTTGCAATACATACAGCTCTGTCTGCTATGTTCAAGAGGACGCTTTCTGTTAGAAATGCACATCAGAAGAGTTGAATGGAAGAGTAACACCCAGAGAAGATACATCTGTTATTGCAAACTTTCTGTGTCAAACTAAGTATCAACTCTTTTTCACTGTAAATCACTCTCTATTGAAGCTTTACTGCCAAGTGTTTATACATGCTGTTACATAGTGGTATAATTGTACAATACTCTTTGATGTTTGTTAGATTTTTTTTTAATTCTGGTATATTTTTAATTTTAAAAATGGATTCAGAATACCCTAGGTAAATCCCACAGTATTACAGAATAGATTAGCATTTGAAACCTTTAATTTACTTTAGAAGATAATGAAAAATTACTGATTTGAGATTACAGTTTTAGGGACATTTTCTTGTCTTAAGGATAGTACCTGTGGTTTTGCAATGAGTATATTTGACAGATTTAAGTTATGTAGTTTCTTCAATGAACTTCATATTACTGTTGCCCTGGGAGGTACATGTTAAAATCATCTCAGACAGGGCAAGATATCTGCAGCCTAATAACCAGCATACTACATGATAAATATATCTAAATTTATGAAGTATTTATTTCTGCAAAGGACTTTTTTTTCTTTTAATTGCCTACACTTTGATGATTGAAACCTATAATATTTTTTAATCCTTTTTATATTTTTGGAGGACTTTTTTCTCAGTTGATAAAACTCATCAGCTTGTGAGATAGGCAAAATACATTGAAAATTTGCAATGCTTCATTCTGATTCAACACAAAGATATCTTGTACTAAAACTAAAAGCAAGTAGTCAACTGCTTAACTGAAATATTTGGAGGAAAACTATAGCTGTGTTAATGCACATTTATCGCCTACATTTTACATAAATACAGGAATTCTAATTTAGGAATATATCAAGCTTTCTGTCTCATTCTTTGAAGCATATTGATATGACTTAGGTACTGGTTAAGAAGCACTTCACAATTGTGGAAAAAAAAATGCAGTTCTAAAGCATAAAAAAGGATCTGGGTGGTCTTTTACATTTATTTTACTTCATATAAATAAACAAGAAACAGCTAATAAAACCTTTGGTAAGATCTTTCCTGTTTAGGATTAAACAAGTCATATTAGCTTCTTCTTTGAATTGTAACACAGTAGATCACATTTATGACTTAGTTTGTAGGCAAGTGAGTTTACTTTTGCTGATTTTGTCTATTGTAGAACAGAAACATGCTAAGATACAGAAATATGACATTTAGAACTACAAGGTACTCTAAGTCCAGTACCTGAGGCTGTTTCTCATTACAAATTTATTTTTTTTTTAATATGGTTTAAATTTTTGGTTTGTTGTTCAGAATGTGTATACAAAAGCAAAATCAGCTGGAGGCAAACATCTGGTGCACTGCCAAAGACATGGTGCATATGAAGCAACAGAAGCAATGCAGTTCTGCACTGAGGATTATAACACAGCAACCTTGGGTTTGGTTGGGTTTGCTATTCTTTTCCTCCAAGGATTAGTTAGAGATTTTAAAACAGTAGCCATCAGATTTTGCTCAGCTGTGTCTATAATCCTCCTTTATTTTAAAACTGCATTATTTTTTATAGTTTTACCTCAGTAATGATCTGAACTTAATTCAATTAACTTTAAACAATTATTGTTTGCTGAGGTTGTCTCTTGGTTTTGTTGATCTCTTTATGTGCACATTCCAAAATACATTGTTCACTTATGAAGGTGTGTGAGGGAGTATCATGAACTAATGACTGACATTTCAGTTGGGCTATACTCATCTCTCTCAAAGTTATCTTCAGCTGTATTGCATGAAAAGGAATGTCAGAAAAGTCAACAGTATTTTAATTCTGATGTCAGAAAAGTCAACAGTATTTTATTTAAGGACTGGTTGAAGTACTGGATCCATAATCAAGAGGAAATCATAAAAAATTACATTATCTTGCAGGCTCATCTTTCTTCTAAAATACATGACTTGCACTCAATAAAGAATACTTGAGTGGGTAAATGCATAAAAAAATGCTGACCAGATCAGAATAACTTCTAGTTATTCTAATTTATAACACTTGATTACCAGCTTCATGTTGCCTTTTTCCGAATCATTCAATAGTCTATTGCTCTCATGCATGTAGTACTACCTTATTTCGAAAACTAAAAAATTCCAGTAATGCAGAGCTAAACAAATGTAGGGCTAATTTCTTTCTTCACTCTTTAAGGCAGAAAAAGTCTATGTTCTTAAACAGAGAAATCAGACAGGAAATCTTGAAAGTGATAAAAGAGAGAATTACAAAACTGGCAAAATATAATGGAGTCAGGAGGCACGTAAACTATTAAGCAAGAAGGACAAGATCCTTCATTCATATATGAACATATTACCTCAGTGAGGAGGAAGAACCCTGTATCACATTTCTCTTTGACTAGAGTATGCTAATCTAAGGAAAAATTACAGCATATACATAAAATAAAATGCATAAATCTTCATTATAATTATTTTCTGACCTTCCTAATGGATTGTTATGTACATGTTCTATTTTAAATAGGTGAGATCTGTAGATTTAATGACTGGACCTAGCGCCTAATGTTGTCCCTCAGGACGCATCTATTCAAGCATGCACTATGGTGAGAGAAGAGTGTCTTAGGCCTGGCCAATGGAAGTTATATGCCTTCCTCAATGGAGTTATATTACTCTTACATGGCAAGTTGAGCATACGTTACTTCTATAACTTAAAATTTACATATAATGCTCAGTTTTCTAACAGGAAACATTGAAAATAAATTAATATGTTTAAAACATCATTATGAAAACTCTACAGTGTTGATGGGACATTTTTTTGTTTAGCAATCCATTAATAACAGAAATATTTCAAACAGAGGGGAAAAGTAAAAAAAATGGCTCCATGATGATGTTTTCAAATGCAGGTAACATTTGCTATGTCACTCTGTTGCCCTCAGGTAAATAAAGATTTGCTATTTTGATGTAATGGAACCATAATCTCTCCTGAACTGTTAAGTTTAGGTATTTTTACTGAAACCATAACATTTGCCAACGTAACATAAGCCTCTGCAGTTCCCTAAGCAATGTGTTTTTCAAAAGAAAGAACTTAACTTTTAAATTTCATTTAGATTATTCCTAAATGACTTAATGTAAAAACACATGGTAAAGAAAGAGATAGATGTTATTGAGATAGATAATAAGAAACTTGAAGGCATAAATGCCTACTACTCACCACTAAAGTCTAAAAATGCCAGCCCTCTGTACAAAGCTAGAATAACTATTGTCATCAGCTAAGATTAGTGTGGGAAATTATTCTTTTGTAAAGAATATAATATAATGAAATAGCAGGGAATAGCATTGAATAGCATTAAGAAGAATCAAGAATTGAAAGATACTATGTGGTATTTATCAGACTGCAGTATTAATGCTGCAGTTCTGTGAAAGAGACAGTCGAGAGGCAGAAAAAGAATCATCAGGGAGATAACATTTGATGCAGATGGTACATTGCAGTTCTGCTCCTACATCTAAAAGGACCCCAAAGGCTGAAGTAGCTAGCTACCTCACTTCACTGTCACTGAACCTGGGCTCTGCAGGGTACAGGTCCTCAGCAAAGCCACATAACAAGGCTTCTTGTAAGCACAACCTCTATGTGACAGGCCAATGCAACTTTGTCACAAGTCACTATTCACCCTAGATGCAGATTCTGTGCTGGCCACATCATGTTTTTCTGGTCTTGGTAGTCCAGTCCTATATAAACAAAATACTGTCATTACATCATTGCAATACAAGGAAAACACTGGGAGAAACTGGAGGATCTGGAGGAAAGCTCCAGCTATCAAACAGGTGTCAGTCACCATAAAAGGGGAAAGAAGGAAGCGTAAGATATCCTTGCTACTTTCCCCCATTCCCCGGTATCCTTTCCATAGGTACAGTTGTTCATTTGGAAGCAATAGCTGCAGGGGGAAACAATTTATGTCAACTGCTGCCAAGTTTCTACCTGCACGGACAGAGAATTGAATTCCACACCATCTGCGTTCTTAATGGAAATAAAAGTGCAGCAGGAAGGTTCAGGATGAAAAGCATGGGTTGTGCATAGTATAAAAGGGATCACGGAGAGAGGGAAAGCCCAAAGCAGTGCCTGGAACCTTTCATATGACTGTCTGTTCTTCCTGCACTAAAGAGAGAGACATGGCCAAATACACGTCACCTCTTGTACAGCCAAAACCTTCAGGACTTTGAGAAAGATAGATACACTCAACTACCACACTACCAAACTCCAGCTTAAATTCTGAATAGCAAAATACATTTTATTATTAAAACCATCAACAAAATAGGCTTGCATGGTTAGAGGAATGGCTTATTTTTCTATAACGATGATAAACTTGAGGAGGCTTGAAAGAGAAAGAAAGTGGATACTACTGCAGGTTTACCTATTTTAACACCAAAGTAAAGCACATTCTACTTTCAAAGATTTTTGACAGCAAGCACTACTATTTAAACAGGTTGGAGGAATTCAGGAAGAATGTGGGAATTCTTTTTTCAAGTCAATCATATATTGATTTTCATTGGATTTTCTTTATTAGAGTTTGTTCCAGAATCTTTGTGATGTGTGAGAGATGATTCTGTTTACTCACTAAAAAGACTTATAGTTAGGTGATTTAGTTGTGCACTTTACATGTGAGGAGTAAGGTATTGCTTCCATTTTGTACTATAACCCCTTACAGAACGGCAGGTTGATAATGTAGATAAAAATATAGTATAATAAACTGTATAAAACCTTATATTTTTAATAGTAGGGAAAGATAAATGTCTTCCTTAAGCTTAAAAAAAAGAAAGTATTATTTTTAGCAATAATTTTGTATTAAATAGAAATGAATTTATTTATACAGTTCCTAGCCCAAGTGGAGATGGTTGCAAAAGATAGATATACTTTATGTGCAACTTCTGTTCTCATTTGAACTATCATAGGAACAAACCTAATTCAACAGAGCAGAATTTGGCCTTAAACTGTGAAACTGCTGAACAAGCTATTAATTCATACAGTACTCCTCTGAGGTAGTAAAATAACTTTATCCACATCTTACTGTAGAATGAAATGGTTATTTAGATGAGAACAATATCAGATCATTACAGATTTTTTTCTTTTTGAGACAACTAAGAAAAAAACATAAATCACAGACCAAACTACTTCTTAATAATAAAATGGGTATTCTGTTTCAGAGTGGTTATGGAAAAGGTGCCTTCAGGCCACATACATCACCTACAGTAGTTACTGAAATACTATCAGTTTGGAAGGCTTATGGAAGCAGGTTAGATTGCTAGAAGCAGTGGGTTAAATGCCAGAAGGATGTTGGCTCATCCTGTATTCTTGATATGCTTGAATATTACTGTACTTCTTCACTTTCATCTTTGTGAAATATGCAAGAAACATTTCTTATGTTTGTATTTTAACGTATGACAGAGTGATGTTAACAGATGAAATGGACTAAAGTAGTTACTGATGTTCCATGATGTAATTGTGAGTTGTATAAAAAGAAATTGTGCCATAATCTTTTGACATAAAGGTTTAACATAATATGCAGTACTTTGTGTGTTAGTGAT